GAAATGGAAACAGTGACGGATCCAGAAGACAAGCCAAATACTCCAGATCAGGAAGATAGCGAAATGCAGAAAGAACCCGAAGCTGACAACAATGAAGAAGAACCAACTGTAACCGTACGTCCCTTGCCAAAATTATTAATTAAGGGTACGAACAACTAATGCATTGTTTAATACCATGAGAGACACTCCTCCGGCAAGATACCATCCCGGGACCATCTAGTTGTAATTCAGCTATTGTCCTCCTTAGGCTTAGGGTGCCGCTATTGTCCCTAACGTCACCTGTTTACTCCCAGTATCATAAACCCATGAACTGACCATGTGCGAGACTGGCCAGGAGGGGTCTTGGGTGCCTTGAAGACCTAAAAAAGTTTACGGGCTTCTCGAAAAATATGAATGTAGGTCAGATGCTGGGCTCGACCCTTGGCTTTCTCTTTTCATGTTTCTATTTTTTTCGTTTTTTTAGGCCAACTGGGGGACTGGTAAAGAGAGGGTAGTCGGTTATAGGGAGTGCAGGAGGACAGTAGTTGGAAGGTAGATAGAGAAGAGAGAAGTGTTTAACACTAGGGTAGCGAGTAGGGCAGACGGAGCGGCTAGCTTGAAGGACAATACTAATATTAACCACTCAATGAAATTTTAAATTATAAGTGCAATATTCGGTGTTCTGGAGATCCCGGATTTATTAACCCCGAAGTGTGTTCCATTCCCATCTCCGAAGCACCCGTATCCTGAGAAAAAGAACCCAAGCTCGAGCGAAAGTCATGGCAGCTGTACGTCGGCAGTCGGCTACACAACAGATACTGAAGAAAATGGAAATACTGACCACAAGGATAATGGAAGGAAAAACAATGGACAAAACAAACATGGATGTGCATTGAGACCAAGAAGAAACATTCAAATGCACCAAAAGTACCGAGACTATCGCACAGAGAGTCAAAAGGAGGCTATGCTCACCTATACATATGACGAGTGCATGGAGAGCGAAGACAGCGAGAAGTGGAAGAAAGCCATTAAAGAGGAAAAGGATTCGCTCTACCAAAACAAAACTTGCATATATGCAAACAGAGAGAAAGCAATGGGCAAGAAAATTCTGACCAGTAAATGGGTTTTCAAAATAAAGGATGATGGAAGACACAAAGCCAGACTGGTTATGAGAGGATGCCAACAAAAGGAAGGAGATATAGATTTCAAGGATACCTTTAGCCCAGTTGTTGACTTGAATTCTCTTAGAGTACTGTTTTCCATAACAGCATGTAAGAATATGAACATGCAAACCTTTGATGTGAAGACTACCTTCCTTGAGGAGGAAAACTACATGGAGATACCAGAAGGATACAAGAACACTGGCAAGATACATGGTGTGTTCAAAAAGTATCGAACCTTGTTTTTTCCCGCGTAAACCAATGAAGCGCGGGAGGCTCCCTTCGGTGGAGATGTGGAGGGGACATTCATGTGCAGTTGTGAATTTTTTCCCGCCCACAGAAAGCGTCAGTCACTGGCAGTTGACCTATGAGTGAGGACGTGTAGTGAGCACTTGTCGGATTCCAGTAAGGTGTAAAATGACGGAACAACATGAGCAGCGATATTGCATCAAATTTTGCCAAAAGCTTGGTGATACCCCAGTGGAAACCATTCGCAAGATTCAACAGGCTTTCAGGGACGATGCCATGAGCAACTCACAGATAAAGGAGTGGTACAACCGCTTCAAAGATGGCTGCACATCAGTGGACAACAAACCGCGTTCAGGCAGACCCTCAACAAGCCGAAATGAGAATGTCATTGAGCAAGTGTGGACTTTGGTCATGGAGGACCGTCGTATCACAGTCCGAGAACTTGCAAACGAGATAGGGGTAAGCATTGGATCAGTACATTCAATTTTGGCCGAGGATTTGAGCATGAGGAGAGTGTCTGCGAAATTTGTACCAAAACTGCTAACAATGGAGCAGAAACAATNCGCTTCAAAGATGGCCGCACATCAGTGGACAGCGAACCGCGTTCAGGCAGACACTCAACAAGCCGAAATGAGAATGTCATTGAGCAAGTGTGGACTTTGGTCATGGAGGACCACCGTATGACAGTCCGAGAACTTGCGAAAGAGATAGGGATAAGACTTGGATCGGTACATTCAATTTTGTCTGAGGATTTGGGCATGAGGAGAGTGTCCGCAAAATTCATACCGTAACTGCGCATTTGATTCAGACTTTCGTTGCCAAACACAACATCCCTGTGGTTAGTCAGGCTCCCTACTCCCCTGACATGGCTCCGTGTGACTTTTGGCTATTTCCCAAGCTGAAAATGCCGCTGAAAGGAACCCGATTTGAGTCAAGAGAAGACTTCATGCAGAATGCGCTGGCCCGCCTGATCACCATTCCAAAAGACGCATTCCAGAATTGTTTCCAACAATGGCGGAAGCACTGGGAGAAGTGTGTGCATTGCCAAGGAGGCTACTTTGAAAGGGATTATGGTCTTGTACCTCCAAATCAACAAATGTATTTCTGCTGACCAAAGGTTCGATACTTTCTGAACACACCATGTATGTCTTCTGAAAAAGGCATTATATGGCCTAAGACTAGCACCATCGCAATGGAACAAGAAGTTGACAACCTTTCTAAAAGAAGGAGGTCTAAACCAAATAAAATCTGACCAATGCATTTTTAAGAATGATGCCAATAGTTTGTTCATGGCCATTCATGTGGATGACGGGATAATCGTGGGAGAGGATGAAAGACAAATAGAGGAAATTTTGCTGAAACTGGAAAATCAATTCCAGATCACAAAAACCACAAATCCAAAAGTTTATTTAGGAATACAAATTGAGAGGCAACCAGATGGGATACATATCTCTCAAACCAACTATGCGAGCCAAATGTTGGAAAAATTCAACATGCAAGAAAGTCGAGAAATGAAAACACCCATGGTCACGACCACACCAACAAATGACGAAGGAGAAAATGACATAAGATTTCCTTACAGAGAAGCTGTAGGAAGCCTGCTATATATGGCATTCGCTGTAAATGTGGAAAGTTGAACCTTGGAAAATCCTGACAAAATAGCTGTTCAGAATGTGAAAAGGACACTTGGGTATGTGGGAGGTACACAAGATTCAGGAATAAAATATACCTCATCTGACTCCAAAACTGTGAAACTGGAAGCATTTAGTGATGCTGATTATGCAGGGGACGTAAAGGATAGGAAGAGTGTAACGGGATATGTAATTATGATGTCAGTGGGGCCAATATCATGGTCCTCTAGGAAACAGAGTATTGTTGCATTATCAACCACTGAGGCCACAATCAGAGTGCAATCAAGCTAATAGAATCTGGACAAGTAACGCGTAGGAGTAAGCACATAGATGTTGGGTATCACTACATAAGTGAACAATTGAAAGAGAAACTGTTCTCAATCAAATACTGTAACACTGAAACTCAGGTGGCAGACATTTTAACAAAACCGCTATCACCAGAGAAATTTACCAAGTTTAGAGACATTATACTTAAGAAGAAATAAGTCTGATTTTGATAAGACTGAGACAATTTTAATAACATGTACTAATTTTGTAAGCTGAAGACCAAAATTATTAAGAGTTATTCAATTTAACTTTGTAAAACAGCTAATAATGTTGACAACATTTTGAAATTAAGGAGGAAAATGAGAAATGTGTTTGTAACATTTTGAAATTAAGGAGGAATGTTGAGAATTTAGTAATGCAAAAATGATCAAGTTGGTAATGGTGATCTATATTCATTTGTTTTTGTTTTGTATTATAATAAAAAGTTTCTTCTCATCCAATATGGCTGTTAAGTGATATGTAAGCATGACACAAAGAAAATCAACACATAAAAAATGCAGGATGAGAGATGGATAAAGGATAATGCTGAAGTGGAAACCTGGACATCCAAGATGAAACTCGAGAAATGATGTGGATAAAACTAAGGAATCTAGCAGATCAAGGGGATCTGGAATGACAGGCATGGAAAATGGAGACAGAAGGTGAGAACTGTCACAGCAAATCCAATATAATATATCTAATGAGAATTAAAACACTGTATAGGAATCTTGACATTTATTTAAAATTTTAAATATGTCCTCTCATAGTATGTAATGTTAAATGTCTGATAATGTATGGCTGTCACAAGGTAACTGAAGCCAGTCTACTTAGAACATTAAGCAAAATCAGCTATGTCAAGGAGAAGGAAATGCAAAAGAAACTAGAAAAGGAATTTTTTCTGTTAACTAATCTAGTCAAAAGGCACATATTTCTACCATTCATTTTGTGGAAGATTTATATCTACATAATGATATTAATTAAACTTTTGTATACTTGTGTTACACATATTATTTGTGACAATTTAGAACTTGAAACCTTGATTAAATGCAACAAAGAACGATATTCACGATAACAGATATATCTTACTGACAATGTGAGCGAGGTTAGAATACCTCCACCGTCAGGCCGTGCCATAGCTCAAGCGGTTAGTCGCTGGCTTCCCACCGTGGTGGCCTGGTTTCGATCCTGGGTCTGCTCAAGTGGGATTTATGGTGGACAAAGTGGCGCTGGGGTGGGTTTTCTCTGAGTACTTCACTTTCCCTTGACAATTCTCATTCCACCAAATTCTCCATCATCATAATCACCAGGGCAGGCTACAATAGACCAATCAGTGGCCGCCATGCCATGGACCCAGTTGGACTACACCCCCCACTAAGCAAATTAAAAAAAAATACTTCCACCATAGCCCTGCAAGTCATAAAAGGTGACATAAAGGCAACCTGGTGCCTGGGGGTATAATTGGGCCACCCTGTCACTGGGGGACATAAATAAAGGAACTTGGTGGTCCAAGGTTGGCAGCTGAAAGCAAGGTTGAGAACCTTGATCCGTTAAAATAAGTCACAAAATCCAAAGACGTGGAAACCAGATGCAATCTGGCAGAATCTTCTATGGAAGGTTATGGCTCGAAAAGGACTGTCTTGTCAACGATAATGACGAATATCAAATTTCATCACAATCTGTCTATCAATTTTCATGCTGAAATATCTGGATTTTACATAAAATCTCCCATATGTGTGTCCATTTAAAGTAATTTGTACAAAGAATGCATAATAATTAAAATCTGTCAGCATAAAGACAACCAACCATCTGGTGATGGGAACAGAGACAGCTCCAAAAATGCTGTGCATATAAACTATACTACTGATTATGGTTAATGTCCAATTAAATATATATCAGCCACTATTATAATCTTACTGTTCAGCATTATTACTTTCCCCAAACAGTAATTACATAGCTCTACTGACATCCTTCATATGTTTGGTAGACCTAGTTCTTACTTTCCCCAATCAGTAACTACATAGTTCTCTGTTGATATCCTCCATCTAAAACAGTTATCACTTAACCTGAACAATAACAGAATAGATTCCACTGAATTTCTTCATATATAATGTACATGCTCTGAATAATACAATAATAAAATATACATATTGGACCCAATACGCAAAACTATCACCTTTAAGTACCAGATACGTGTACTGAAAAAGTTAAACCATGGTACATCTACCTAACCCAAATCTAGGACAAATTAGAAAATTTCTTAGCAGGGAAAGTCAATGTTACAATGCACATTCAGATGTGTATAACAATCATTTTACGTACGTGTAATGTAAATCAGTTTGGTAATCTATCTTTTACATGAATATTAATTCCTTAAAGAACATTTTTCAACCAAGACTTCCTGCTTCTTTGTATTTGTTACTCGTTCATTCTCTTGATTTATCCTTTGCAATGTAGCGGTCCAGCAGTTTCTCTCCTTCTGGGTCAAACACAGACAGCTGACGAAATCCTTCATCATCCACAAAACAGATCTCATGACCATCCTGAAAAATCATCCATGTCTTTTATTTCTGTTAAGCCATACATATGAAACTGTCTGGTACATTATTTCCATTCATAATGCCTATGACTAAAAATGAACTGTTCCTAAAACAAATTATTCAGTTGTGTTCAACACATGCTTTGGTGTTTACATAGTTGTCCTACCTTGTGATTGTATGACAAGAAAGCAGAAATCCTTTATTATGGCATAAGAGAAGTTCAAGTTTTGTATATGTTAATGGAGGTCTAGGTTTGGGCTAAAACTTAAATAAAAAAAGGTTTTTGATAATCCTGAAGTAACTTTGTTATGATAGTTTATTACCTTACCAGTTACCTCAACTATATAATATCTGCAAGAACAGACAGAGTCAATTGTTTCAGAATGTATAGTAAATGAACACATTTAGGTTCATGGTTTCATTGAACATCATGTTTTGAAGTAAACGTTCAATAGCTTTATTAACTATAGTTAATTCATTTTCAGGCCTTGCCGTAGCTCAATCAGTTAGTCGCTGGCTTCCCATCACGGCAGCCTGGGTTCGATCACGGGTCTGGTCAAGTGGGATTTGTGGTGGACAAAGTGGTGCTAGGGCAGGTTTTCTCCAAGTACTTCGCTTTCCCCTGCCAATCTTCATTCCACCAACTGCTCCACAATCACCCTCACCTATCATCTGGGGCTGGTACAATAGGCCAGAAGTGGCCGCAGTACAAGGGACTTAGTCCCACCCCACTAGCAATAAAAATAAAATTCATTTTCATATTTTGAATTGTTTCATTTTTGGTCCGTTACACTATCAATCACAGATTGTCAATGAAAAATCCGTCGAGTGTAACAATGTAAGATTTGAGGCTTTCACGGCGGTGACTATGAAGAAAGCAGTCTTCTGGGATTTGGCACCGTGTATATGTGGTGTTAACCGACGTTTCGGAGGAACGTATCGCCCCCATCTTCAGGGTTGAAGAAAAAGTTTAAGAAATCTGCAAGGGACAACACCGTGAGAAACGGTAAAGCAGAC